GTAATATTAAAATGCACAAAATAGAGTCTATTGTCATGTTAAGTTGTATAAGAATGAATCTTGTAAAATTGGAAAAAAGTGAGACACTAAACATTATACTCAATACAACGTATTTAAAATAATCATAGTATTTAAAATAATCATTAATTATTAATCATTGTTACCAAAATCAAGTCAGATTAGTTTCAAATGTTATAAAAATTAAAACATATCATATCAGAAAAAATCAATTCAAACATCCTAAAATTGAGACCATAACAAATTAACGCGACGTTTAAATTGAAAAAGACATAAGCCTAAATACTTGGTCGAGGACAAAAGAGCTAGCTAATAAAGGTCCCGCTTTATCCCTGTGAAACGCTAAACATCGCCCACAATTTACCATATAAAGCCCACAAATATGATATGGTTTGACCATTATGCCCTTTTTCTAAAATTGAAATAATCTCGGTGTAAAAAATGTGGAGCCGTACTGGCTCGCCGGGGGAGACCGGAGGGCAGGCCGGAGATGCGGGGGACGCCGGAGGTACGTCGTCGTCGACGGAAAACGAGGTAAGTCACCGTTAAATTTCACGGTTTACCGTCGGAGTGGCTCCGGCGCCTTGGGTGGACACCCAAACCGTAGCCTGGACGTCCAAGCCAGACGCCAGAACCACCAGAGTGGCGTCCAGCCCAGACGCCCAGACCACCAGACTGGCGTCCTGGGCAGACGCCACTCCACTGGTTGAGGCGGCCCTGCCAGGCGCCAGTCCAGTGGCTGTGGCAGCCCTGGCAGACGCCACCTTTAATAATTTTTTTTTTTTTTTCTTTTTTGATTTTGTTGTTGTTTTTTATTTAATTTTTTTGTAAAAAAAAAAATCGAAAATGATTTTTTAAAAAAATTCGAAATGGGTTTTTTTTAAATTAAATTTGAAAATTCGAAATAGGTTTTTTTAAAATTAAATTTGAAAATTCGAAATGGTATATTTTTAAATTTAGTTTGAAAATTCGAATTGGGTTTTTATAAAAATTAAGTTTGATTATATATAATTATGTTTTTTTTTGTGTTAATTCTGTGTAAATATAGAAATTAAATGTATTATCCGTTAAATATATTTATTGTAATATATAATTGATGCAGGAATATGGTGGAGACGGAAATGATTACAGTGGGATATTTGGACATGATGGTCCATTCGAAGAAGCTCAACAGGCGATTGATTGGGCAAAACAGGTTGCAATTGCAGCTGGATTTTGCTTGGTAGTAGTAACTCATAAATCTCAACGGGATGGTAGAATGGATCGCATTTTGAGATGTGACCGTTATCGCAAAAGAGAAGAAAGAGATTTTCGTACAGCCACTCGGTTTGATACAAAGCGGAAAGGTTGTGGGTGTGAGTTCAGAGTAAAGGTTCGACAACTACGGAGTCGTGACGGTTGGGAAGTGATTGGTTACTCTAAATGGGGGTATCACAACCATGAGATGATAGTATATGAAGAGGGTCATCGACAACTGAGCGGCTTAAGTCCTGCTGCGAAACTAGTTGTGAAAGAAATGAGTGATGCTCAAGTGAAGCCTGCTAAAATATTAGCATCTGTGTTAGAGAAATTTCCAGAAGACCATCCAAACCGAAGACACATCTACAACGTCAGACAGCAACTTAGGTTTGAACGGTCAGAGGGAAGGAACCCTATACAGCAGCTGCTACACCAGGCACAATCACGTGGTTACCTGTTCTGGTTTGATTCTGATGAAGATACAGCGGAGGTGACTCATCTTTTCCTTGTGCATCCTGATTGTGCTGATATGATCAAGTCTTGGTCATTTGTGATTTTGATCGACTCAACGTACAAGACAAACAAGTACAAGTTCCCACTGGTTGAGATGGTTGGGATGGCTCCAACGAACCAGAACTTTCAGAGAGCTAGCTATTGCGTTTCTTGGGTCGTCATACAGACATTTCATCCGACTAGACATGTCAACCGATTTTCCAGTGCCACCGATTATACCTCGGTTGTACAACATTCGCACAGCGAGCGTAGAGGGTTGGGATGCGCTATATAATGACCGGATCCACGAATGGAACACCCTAGCTGCATTTTAGTTTTTCATGTTTACATTCTTTATTTGTAATCTTATTTGTACGTTGCTCTTTTAATGAGAACATTAATATTTTATATTGTATTGCTTACTGCATTCTATATGTTGCATGGGTAAGTTGCGCGGATCCACGAACGGTTATATCAAAATTTAAAAACAGCACTGATAATATGTTTAAGTTGGAAGCTAAAAGAACAATCTAAAATGTTACAATTTTACAACATAATGTCCAACATAATGCTCTATAAATAAAATACAATAACCATCAGTAATCCCTCCTCGACGACGACTCCCATCGCGCAAGGGTCTGTTCAAGACTATCAACAACAGCTCTCCCTGTTGCTCTCATGCTGTCCTTCTCAAGAGAGAGTTTCTGTACGTCCTGCATTATCTTTCCCATCCACTGCATACAACAAAAAACAGAAGATGAAATACAATAACAACAAATAAAACTTAATTAAAATACAACGATAAATATAATAAAAGACATACCGCTTCCGTGGCAGTAGGCGGTGGCACATAATCATCATCGCTGTGGTCGAGATCAGCGATCAACCTCGGGTGCGAATACCGGTTGAACCATTCCATGTAGTAATGGTCACACATGGGAGTAACCCCAGAGGGCGGCCGCTGCAACTCCGCAGTCCACAAGCGGGCCACCATCGGAAACTGGTCCCACGTCCCGGTCATGATATCCGGCCATTCCACGACGTAGTCCCTCGACGATGCATATAATATGTGCAAATAATAAAATGTAAAATTTAATAACATGAATATAATATGTGCAAATAATAAAATGTAGACTCTATAAATAAACGTTACCTCTAAGGGGGACAGCCTGTCCAGCAATAACCGTATCGATCGGAGGCGGTCAACGGACTTCTTCTCCGAGCGCGGACTCCACGCACAAGCACGCGGCATCCCCTCATCAATAGGAACTGGGTCACGATGTGGTCGCAATGCAGGAAAGTACTCGTATATCCAGGTCTGCAATAGAGTTAGACACCCAGTGATACCTGCCGCGTCAGCCCGACTCGCAAATCCTAGTTGGCGATACAAATACGCCAACGTAGCCGATCCCCAGGAAAACTGGCCTACACTGTCGGGGTCACACGCCTCTACGATGTCGCGTGGCCTGAGCTTGTTTCCGCCGCTCTTATCCGGAAACAAGGTACATCCGAGGAGTAGAAAAACATAAGCACTCAGCTGTGCGTCGGGCGTCCTACGTGCACTGGGGTACAAACACCGCTGCAACACGGATGCGATCTTCACACCTCCGTGTTCCCAAACACCTAGCGCCTCGGTGTACAGTGCAGCCCTGTCCACCGCCAACAACTCCGCCAGCGAATCTGCCTGATCCGCATCAGCCACAGCATAAAGTCGTTTACCCTCAACACGAATCCCCAGAATGGCCTCGACGTCATGTAACATGATCGTCATCTCACCGAACGGAAGGTGGAAAGAGTTTGTATCCGGCTGCCATCGCTTAATGAAAGCCGTGATCAACGTACTGTCAATCTTATCGTGCATGGTGGCAGGAACGTGATTCACCCCAGTGCCCTCCAGTCGCTCGAACATCTCGCTCTCCGCCGGCCAGGCCTCAGCCCATGTACGCAAAAAGCTACAAGTCTTTTCCCGGGTATGACATTTCAACAACCCCGTAACTGAAGGCCTCTCCTGGTCCTCCCAAATACGGGCAGCTATGTGTCCTAGAAAGCTAGGAATCACACTCCCGTCAACAGGCCCACCGGGCACCTCACTCCTAACAACCCAAGAATCATTACCGGCCCTCGACCGTTTCCTGCTTGCCCCAGATACAGTGGACGCAGATGATGTGCCAGATCTACTAACAAACCTACCACCCCTACCCTTACGCACCTCCACCATATGCGTCTCGTACATGTCATCAACCCTCTGACTGAATGGACCGTAATCATCATACGGTCCACTGCCATCGTCCACATCCTCATCCTCATCTGCGCCCTCCTCCTGCTCCTCCTCCTGGTCACCCTCCTCAGCATCATCATCGTCATCGTCATCCTCATCCCGACGGTGGATCCGTTCTCTACGAACTGAGGCCGAAATACCACGGGATCTGACATGTCTATGCCCCGACCTCTCCACTGAATAACTTCTACTAAGAAGCTCTATATTCTTCCCCGCACCATGACGACCCAGTGAATTCTACACAAAATTTTAAAATATATAAACATACAAAAATTTATACGATAAATAATCATCATCGCAAATCAAATAAACTAAAAACATACAAATAATTGTAAACAAAATATAAACGTAGAAAAAATACAACGAAATTGAAAAAATTTATAAAAATAAACAACAAAATATAAAAACAATTCAAAATTATATTACAAAAAAAAAAAAAATTAAATTAAAAACAATTTTTTAAAAAAATAAAAAAAAAAATTGGGGGGGGGGGGGGCGCCCTGGCTGGACGCCCAGCCAGCGGTGGTGGCGCCAGCTGCAGACGCCGCCACCAGTTGGCTGGCGCCAGCTGCAGACGCCGCCACCAGTTGGCTGGCGCCTGGGCTGGACGCCACAGCCACGGCTGCGGCGCCTTGAATAAACGCCACAACCGTGGCTGTGGCGTCCAGCCCAGGCGCCAGCCAACTGGTGGCGACGTCTGCAGCTGGCGCTACCACCGCTGGCTGGGCGTCCAGCCAGGGCGCCCCACCGCGGTCACGGCGGTTTTTCCCTTTTTTTTAAACAAAATGTACCTTTCCTCCTTGGGACATCCTTCCCTCCGCCGCCGCCGCCAATTCCTTGCCTTGCCGCCTCGACATTGCCGTTATTTGAAATATTTTTTTTTTTAGAGAGGTTGAAAGAAGATGAGCAATGAGAGTGTGAGTGATGAGAGTGTGAATGATGAGAGTGTGAGTGTTTTTTTTTTAAGGTCAAGGGCAATTTTGGCAAACCAAGTGAATTTTGTGGGCTTTATGTAGTAATTTGTGGGCGATGTTTAACAAATCCCTTTCCTTTTCCCTCCTCCTAACATAAAGGAAGAAGTAAAAAAAAAAAAAAAATCAAAAAAAAAAATTAAAATAATACGGTAATTTAAAAAATAAAAAATAAAAAAATCTCATCAACTCCAATGTTATATGGAGTACAAATAATCCATTCCTACGAAAACTCTCACTCCAACCATCATTCGTCGTCTTCCTTTCCATCCTTTTCCTCTTCATTTCTTCTCCCTCCTTTTCCTCAACAAATTTCCTCCTAATTCCCAACAAAACCCTAATCATGTCCCCAATTCTCTCTCAATAATCCACAATTTCCCCCAATTAAATCCACCCCAATTTCGTTTCATCTTCTACAATGGATCATCAATCGTTAACTGGGTCAACAACCCTCTCAATCGTTTCTAAACCAAAGGTTTACCGTCTCATGAACGGTGGTTGCGCCGGCGGAGGTGGTGGTGGTCCCCCTAAATCACCGCCGTCAATCTGGTTCGAAATCCGGTTGTTCTACGTTCGTATTGCACCTTGCGCCATTGACGCCGCACCAGATTACCTCACCCTCCGACATCTCCGCGATGAGCTCGGTGTTTCCCTCGAAATCAATGGAAATCGTGTTCCTGCTTCTGAAACGGCGTCGTCTACGCTTCGAAGAGATCGTGTTGACAGAGAATCGTCCGAGGTTACATATGTTAGCACCGACAACGTTAAGATCTCCGGCGGCGTGGAGTTCGAGGTTTGTGAGATGGATAATTTGCTACTTTGTGGGTCCTTTGGAAGGTTCGAGAATGAGTGGAGAATGGATTGTTATGCCGGCGGTTCGTCGCCGTCTTCGTCGTCGGCATTCTTTCAGCCGAAATTAGGGATTTCGTCGCCGTCGATTGAGGTTTATGTTGCCGGAAGATGGTCGGATACGCCGGTGATATTGACGAAGATGATGAACTTCAGTCCCCGGAGAAAGTCGCCGAGATATAGCACTTTGGATGCGATTCCTGAAGTTTCCGATGAGACTGAGAAAGATCAGAAGATTGTTGCTGTTAATGGTTTGATTCACCGGAAATTACAGGTAATTCATTGTTCACTTTCATATTGGATTTTGAATAAATTTTTGAGATTTTTGTTTTGATTTGTTTGCTAATATTGTGTTGATTTCTATGATTTGTGTTCCTGTAAAAGATTAATATTTATTTATTTTTGAATCATACTGTGAATGATAAATTTCTATTGAGAATTTGAGATTTCATGGAAATGGAGATGCATTTTTATGTTTAATTATTGGATTACTTAGAAATGATATTTGTGTAATTATGTAAGCATTTCAATGGAAGGTTAATGATGTTATATCCGTAAGTTTTGGAATTGGAATGATTTTAAAATAGGATCTTGCTAACGAACGCCCCAGGGCGTTCGACAAACATTTAAAATATTGCCTAAAATGGTATTAATTTGGGAAACATGGCAAAATCACGCGTGGTGTAATTAATGTTCATTTTAATTTAATCTTTGTACTTTTAGCTAGCTTATCCGAGGGCGTTCGTTAGCTTTTGCCTTTAAAATATTGACCGATAATTTGTGATATACCAACACTATCATTCCCACCTAGGAAGGTAGAAACACCTGTCACCTTGGCACGTAGTTAGTTGAGTTACTTATGTGGTGAGGAATTGATAATCGTAGTGGTACCACCATGCTCACCTTTATCGGAGTACGTGATCACGCTATTGATGAGAAGTTATTAGATGATCGAGGACCACGGTGTTATTTATGATTCCGACTAATTACAAAGGATACCAATATCACGGTATCTTCGATGATGTAAAAGTTATTTGATTTGGAATCATCAAGGGTGTCACTTTGCATTTGGATGGGATTACGAATGACCTGGTGGTCCTAACACATTTTATAATCTCTCATTCTTTGGGGAGGTGAATTATTGTAAGAAAACTGTTAGTTGGAGCATAATTTGTTCATGAAGATGGAGATCTCATGCTTATCTTGTGAGTAGTAGGATTGTAGGATCGTGGAAACATATCTAGATAATTGATTGCTCCTTTTAGCTTTAAGCGAACAATAAAGCTAAATAATTCGTATGCCTAGCAGTTGAAATGTCAGTGAGCTGATCTTGTGAGCTATTCTTACTAATTTCCTGTTTCTGGGCATGGAATTACATTTGAGCTACAAATCAGGGGTACCAGCATGATTAGGCTTTTGGTTTATGATTTTTTTAGTGTTTTTAGGTAAATGATCAGTGTGCTGAGTGCTAAGGTGTTTCAGTGGGATGAAATTGACACCAGACATCCTCCCAATTATCTATTGTCACTTATTCAATTTCAATTATACTGTTAGTTTGATTTGTAGATTAATTTAACAAATAGCATGAGTTAAATTAGGGAAAGAAATTGAAAGTTGTTTTCATGTTGTTTTATATTTTTTTGGAGGACTTCAAAATAGGAAATATAGAGGATCGGCTAGGGATTAGGTTGAACTATTGACTATGATGGATTTATACTTGAATTATTAGTTGTTGCCGTTGTAGGTACAGTAAATTCACCTTCTCACATCATTTCACTAGCATTAGTAACTGTATCCTTTTGCTTGCCAAATCTAAAGGTTCAGAACTAACCCTGTACCTAACAAAGAAAACGATTGTTTGTTGAAGCAATCATGACTAAATGGCCCTCTCAATTCCCTTGAGCTAACCAAGCCAGTTTCCCTAGGCCTCAATTCTCACCCACCATCCAATATTCATGGTTGAAAAACCACTACTGCCTCAAGCTGGGCTGGAGGCCTGGTGTGGGGTTTGTTTTTTTACTTGCCAATGTCTAGCAAAGGTATAATATTGATATTAGACAGCTGCAGAGCTATCTCACCTTGTCCTGTGTTGCTATTTTTTCCTATAAATATCTACTTACACTTTTCGTATTTTGTGACGCCTCTGTTTTGCTTGTGCCAATTTGTCTATTGCTTTCCACTTGTTTGTTCATTACAAATGCAAAGCATACATTTTTTTATTTTTAATTCTTTATTTAATTTGAAGTAATTTTTGGTTATTGCAGATCACTGAGGCTGAAGATGAGTATGAAGCAGAGGGAAAATTGATTCACAATTGGTATCCGGATGAGGTTTATGAAGGGGAGGATGGCCAACTCACTTGGTTCAATGCTGGAGTAAGAGTTGGTGTTGGTATTGGTCTTGGTATGTGTTTAGGAATTGGTATTGGTGTTGGATTACTTATGCGATCGTATCAAACCACCACCAGGAATTTCAGGAGGAGATTCTTCTGATTTTACATGAATGCTCCTTTTATTGTCTAAGAAAGGACTCATGGGAAAAATGTAGAATTATATTGCTACTGCAGCAAGACTCCATGCCGATGGATTATAAACCCACAACACTAACGTTCGTGTTTTCTCCTCAGATGGAGGCTAGAAACTGTATAAAATTGCAGTTAATATAAGCTAATAATATCAATCAGTCAAGACAGCCACCACATACTTTCAGAATTTCCCGTGTAGCAAAGGTATGAATCGTTTGAGTGAAATTTGGAGGTTAGTCTGTATGATACCATGAGAAAGTTAAGAAATCTGCATTTCACATTAGTTTTTAGATAGTCATTAGGGAGTTTTGCAGTATGTAACCTAAATCTGGAACCATGAGACATTGAGACGGTGTTAAGCATTGTCCAGGAAGGTGGTGTAAAAATTGTGTATCTGAGTAAGCATGTTAGCTTCCTGCATATATTGTTTCATTTTGTAGAGATAAGCAATTTTGGTATGTCCGTTAAAGAGTGTATATTCTATTTCACAGAACTTGTTAAGGTTGATGTCTTTGTTGTTAAAACAATAATGTGAGGTGCCTCACTTTCATGAATATATTTTAGTTTGGATGTGTTCCATTTCGAGTTTTCAACTCCTCCTTGTGGCGTAGATAATTTCAATGATTAGGGTTAATGGCGTTGAAAGTTTCCTTAATACGTGATGCTTGGTAGTTATTAGTTTGGAGGCAGATTTTTTAGAGAAACAAGAGGCTGGTCTCTTAGGAAAATGAGAGGTTGGTACTTGATACGATCCGGTGCACATTATAGGACCAGCATTGGATTTGGTCCCAGTATCATGTTGTTCATGATGCAATATCAATTTGGCGGGCCTTTATGTGATGTTGATGTAAATTCAATTGGTTGGTGATGGTTATGAATTTATGATGGTGATTATTCAGCTTATTATAGAAGTAACATTGGATTTGACTAATTTAAGTAAGGTAAAATGAGTAAATATGCTTATTGGTTATCCAAATCCTTGTGAAACGACAAATATGGAGAATTTTCGCCTCCATTTAATGTTGGCCATTGCTCAAATCATATGTGAAAATAATTAATTATGTTTTGTTAGATGCAGACTTTTCTTGGTTTTTCAACAACCATAATTAGAAGTGGCAGTGTCACATGAATTAGTAGTGTTAGTATGGGGACGTTTTCCCAAAAGTAAGCTTAAGTAGCAAAATATATACGTAAATGGTTGCGTGGCAAAAGTATTTACCAAACTAAGCTTTCAGGGTAAAACGCTGTCTTGGGCAGCGTTTTATGCCCTAGTTTTTTTTATAAAAAATTCAACTTAAAAACGCTGTCTCAGACAGCGTTTTACATGTTGACTTTTGTTTTTTAAATTTCGTAATTCAGACAGCGGTTTTAGTGTATAATTTTTTATTTTATTTTATTTTTTTAAAATTTCTAGTTTAAAAATAAAAAAAATATATATTAAAGCTGTTGTGTTCTTGAGCTGCCCCATTTTCCTAGCTTAATTAACCTTTTTTCTTCTTTGTTCTACACGTAATGTTCATGCACTATAGATTAGTGTCTCCTTCTAGGATTTTTTATATTTGGTTTTTACCAATTATTTGACCCTCTTCCTATTTTCACTCCTTTAATCAAAGTTTCTACTGTTCTTTTCTCCTTCACTTTCACTATACTCCTACCTTTAACCTTTTCTGTCCTCTGTTGTGGCTTTACTTGAGCAACACACCTTCGTTTTGGATGGTATGTAGAATTTGCTCATGAATTGATTTTGTTAAACACAAAACAATGACAGCAATCAAAGCATATGTATTTTCGGTATATTGCAATCATGTGAATATGGACTTAAATACAAAGAGGAGAAGAAGATAGGAAGCAACAATCGTATCCCAACCCCAACCGCAATACTCGAATACGATATGATAATTATCACATATTGATAATTATCCACCCAAATAATACAATCATTATCACATATTGATAATTATCCACCCCAAAGAATACAATCATTATCATAATAACGCAATGGTGTATAATATTTTTTTTTTCTTTTTTTTGTTTTTAAACTAGAAATTAAAAAAAAAATAAAAAAATTATACACTAAAACCGCTGCCTCAGGCAGCGTTTTAGTGTAATTTTTTTTTTTAATATCAAAAATTACGAAATTTAAAAAACAAAAGTCAACATGTAAAACGCTGTCTGAGACAGCGTTTTTAAGTTGAATTTTTTATAAAAAAAAACCAGGGCATAAAACGCTGTACGAGACAGCGTTTTACCCTGGAAGCTTAGTTTGGTAAATACTTTTGCCACGCAACCATTTACGTATATATTTTGCTACTTAAGCTTACTTTGGGAAAACGTCCTTAGTATGGCCTCTCTACTTACAAGCCCCATGTGACATGGTATGGCACTCCTTCAAGAAAAAAGGAAAAGTGTCGACAATTGTAAGGATTTGATTTATCAAGCAAGGCGGTAAGTGTGATTTGGCGTCGACACATCACTTATTCAAATACAATAAATGTTAGGATTTGATTTGAAAATAAGTATTTTTTAGTTGCGATCTCCAAACTGAACTTTGAACTTGGATTATCTCTTTAGAATAAGTTTCTTAAAATGGATAATAATTGGTGAAATATTAAGTATTTTGTATGATACGGAGTACGGGTCTATTCTCATACGTTGAAATTCAATTCAGTTCAGCTCCTAATTTCCTTCTCTTATAAAATATTCAGTTCAGCTCATTTCAATTCAGTTTAGTTCAGTTCAGTCAATGAGAACATGCCCTACAGTTGTACATTTTTAACTTCGCAAGTGAATATGTTTAGATGGATGTTTATCAGACTATGCTCAAATCATAATCTTGCTCTAACCTCTTTCTGTTCACTTGCTTTTACAACATCCATTCACTAATTGCAATATCAACAAATACAACAATTCAACATAATTATTTTTATCATCAACTAATAATAATATTGTAATTTTCTCATAAATTGTAATATGAGTGATAATAATGGGAATAAAATTCTATGATAATCTATTTAATCCATAAACTCATTCCTTTTGGTTGTACATAAATCCAACAAGTAACCCTCTTCTTTCAATAAACCCAACAAACCATCACACAAAACATGCCAATTATCACAAACATAGTTTCAAAGCATAAGAAGTTAAGAACACAATCTACGGTTACCAATAAAATCAACAACCTTAACAAAACAATATTTCATCCATTATAAAATATTTGATAGGTTGAGGAACGTTTCATCCATCTAATTGAATAACTACATGAAGTTTAACAAAGTTTTGTTTTCTTTCTTCTAATCCATAAAACTGATTTCTCATATCACAAATTCACAATTCATGAGGATAACATACTGCGTTGAACATAACAGGAGTTGTTTTAACTTATTCGAACTAATCCTAGTTTGGTTGAATAAAATATAAATCATATCTAAACTCATCACATTTTCAAGCATTAGAGCTTATATCATAGAATATATTGTTGGAATGTATCCAAACGATTGATTGAATGAATGGTCAAACTTATTATTAAGGGCTTGTTCTCTTCAACTTATTTTAGATACTTAATACGGAGTACTTATTTCTTAATAAATTCAGATCAGAATAGAAAGTTTCAGTTCAAAACTTTTAATTATCATTTACTTATCATTAAATATCGTCAATTGCGTATTAATTTTTTTTATTTTTTTTTTATAAAATTTATATATTTTTAAAAAGTTTATAATGAGATGAATCTAACAAATTCCATTTTAATTATAATTACATCATGATGTGAAAATGGTAAAAAGATGAAAGTGATAATTGAAATTATAAATTTGATAACCAAATTTGCCCCTAATTTATCTTGTATTTTCTCAAAGTACTCCATATTTTAAAGAAAAAGAAAAAGGACGGGTTGAATAAAAACACATCTAAAAATTGAAAAATGAAAGACCAACAAAAAAGTGGGAGAAGAAGAAGACTTTCCGACCAGTAAATTTGTACGGAGTAGTTTACTTTCCGAGTTTCTCCCCTTTTCAATTTCTTTCCCTCCCTTCTCCTTCTCAATTTCCCCATTTTAAAAAAAATCATCCGACAAAGGAGAGAGAAAACACACACTCAACTGCATTTACCATTACAGTTAACCCCATCTCAATTTTCAAAATGAACCCTTGAAAACAACCCCCATTTCACCGCCATAACAACCACCGTCACAACCACCACCTCCGGCCCAGCCCAGCCCACAAAAATGTCGATCAAAGGGCCCAAATCGACGGCCCACCACCACAACAAGCCCACATCACCAATCCCCTTAGTCGTAACCCTAAACTGCATCGAAGACAACGCTTTAGAACAACACTCCCTCGCCGGAGTCGCCGCCTTCGAACACGTCGGCTTAAGCCGATTAGCCGACGGTAGAATCGAGTCAGCCGCCGCTGTTCTCCTCCACTCCCTCGCGTTCCTCCCACGCGCCGCCCAACGCCGGCTTCGTCCATGGCAGCTTGTTCTCTGCCTCGGCTCTTCCGACCGAGCCGTCGATTCTGCTTTAGCCGCCGATCTTGGACTCCGGCTTGTCCACGTCGATGTTTCGAGGTCTGAGGAGATCGCTGATACTGTTATGGCTCTTGTTCTAGGGCTTTTGCGACGGACGCATCTGTTGTCGCGGCATTCTCTGTCTTCGTCTGGGTGGTTGGGTTCTGTGCAACCGCTTTGTCGGGGGATGCGACGGTGTCGTGGGTTAGTGCTTGGGATTGTTGGGAGATCTGCGTCTGCTTCATCTTTGGCTATCAGGAGTTTGTCTTTTAAGATGAATGTGCTTTATTTTGATGTTTCCCAGGTAAGCTTGTTTCACATTTTTGTGTAATTATGTCAATTATGGTTGAGTTTGTGGAGTTTTCTTGCATAAAGATTGGTTTTGATAGCGAAAGATTTGATCTTGCTTGTTGTGTGATACTGGGTTGATTTGTCTATTTTTAAGGAGTTGGTTTGGTGGAATGAATGTTGTGGTTTATTTATGTAATTGATGAAGGATTTAGGTTGAATGGTTTGTTTGGAGATGAAAAAATGATTTTGAATGTTTAATTAGTGTGACATTGTGTTTATTGCCTGGCTTCTGTTTATTGATTTGCTGAAATGCCTAAAATTTAGCTTAATTATGCAGTTGGTTAGAATGTTTCTTGCAAGATGGTTTTCAAGGAGCAAGAAAAATATTATCTTCATTGGTTTGTTATTGTTTGTAGAATACAGTATATTGTCCGAAATGATGATCAGAGGATGGTGTAGATGCGGGGAAGAGAAGTGATTCATCTGATTTAAAACCACTTTATTTGCATTTGGCTTTAGAATTAGAACTTATAAGCGTTAAGTTGATTACTAGGATCACAAAAATTTGGATTGGATAATGGATACATGATTTGGGATTTTGGTGTTTGGGGGGGAATGAAATGTTTGGTAAGCTGGCCAGGTGAGACGTAGTTGTGGTTGTATACTTGTATTCAATGCCATCTTTGAAATTTAGGTCAGGCCTTGGGTTTGACGTAGGCACGTAGCAATTTGACACGAGGATGATAACTCAGCTTCTACTATGCCAATCTCAGCTCCTCCCTCCCCCTTCCATAAAAGGATGCAATATGTATCGATATGATCATTTTATGAATCTTGTGATTATAGGTCTTTTCTTCTCTTTTTGCAATATGTGAGAGTTAAATAGGATATACTCTTGAAATTGATTTAGTTGGTTTGATGAATGCCATGCTCACAGATGCTGCCCTTCTGGTACAAAATGACAACCAGTAACATGAATGTGAAGGAATTTTGAGTGTCTTAAAGCTCCATTTTTCTGAATTTTCTTATTTTTCAGCTTTGAGCTTGGAAGTTCTTTTCAATTTATTTATTTTTTAATTTTTTTTTAACTGAATACTGTCTGATAATATTTTCTCATTTCTTCCAGGCTCAAGTAAGCAGGTCGATTATATTCCCTCCTGCTGCCAGGAGAATGGAGACACTTAATGATTTAATGGCTGCAAGTGATGTGATCTCTCTCCATTGTGCTTTGACAGACGAGACTGTCCAGATTATTAATGCTGAATGCTTGCAGCATATCAAACATGGTAATATTAATTATTTATATGCTACAACTATTTTTTTTTTTATTATATTATTATTTTGTAAAAAAAATTTAAGCTAGTGCTTTTTTACCCTATTTTCCTTTTTAATACTGATAAACATTCTATTCAGGTGCATATCTGGTGAACACTGGAAGCAGTCAGCTTTTGGATGATTGTGCGGTGAAGCAGCTATTGATCGATGGAGTCCTTGCTGGCTGTGCACTGGACGGTGCTGAAGGGCCACAATGGATGGAAGCATGGGTATGTTCACTAGTATGAAAACAGAAATGCACGTGTTGCAATCTATTTGTATTCTTTTCTATCTTTCTTGGTTTTGTGCATGCATACAGGGTTTTACATTTACAGAATACTTATTAGGATTGCATGTGCATCGCAACTGTGCACTCAGTATATATGATGCTGTCGTTTACCTTATTCTGTAAAAATGAATGTGGGTATGTTCAGCATAGGCTCTAGATATCTTTGGAAGCTTATAGTCCTGCATTCATGCACAATTTTGGAAAGCTCTTGTTACAATTCGTGTCCATCTAGGTGACTCTTTCATTGCTGTTGGGGAAGTTTCATATGCAGTGTCTCCACCAATCCTTGCTGCTCCCTATGGCCTTATCTGAGTGAAGGAAGAATGCATATTTGTAGTTCTTAACATAATAAGTCAATTTAATTTATAGCTTTTTAAATTTGAGACTGGAGAAGCTGTGCCAATTCGATCGTGATGCTGATAAAAAATTAGCCATGTATAGCACTATATTCCAGTGGGTGATCTGCTGATGGGAGGAGTGTGTGCACTTTGATATTAATCTCATTACCTTTCATGTTCGGAAGTAACTAGTGTGCTTTTATCTATTTAATTGTGTGATGTTTTGATTCAGTTAGAGTGCATTATTTGTTTTAACATGACTTTGTCCTCTGATGCAGTTGGCACATGTTGTTTCAGGTTAGGGAGATGCCTAATGTATTGGTACTACCACGAAGTGCAGATTACAGCGAAGAAGTATGGTTGGAGATAAGAGAAAAGGCCATTTCTATATTGCAAACTTACTTCCTTGATGGTGCTGTTCCAAGTAGTGCTGTTTCTGATGACGAGGACGAGGAAAGCGAAATAACCTTTGAGAATGAGCAATCTGATAAGCATGACAGAGAAAGACTGCCGCAGAGTCCAGTTCTTGAGTGTCTGACAATTGATAACTTAGCGACGCCAGAAAGTTCCCATAGAAAATCTTCATCTGCTCAATTAGATTCTCCTAGCCAGCCTCAGGTTTCAGGTTTGTCTCCAAATAACTCTGCTCAATCTGAAACGAAGCGTAGTAGATCAAGCAAAAAGGCTAAAAAGAGACATGCTCGCCAAAAGTCCCAACATAAAATTGAGGACATCGTAGAAAAAGAGAGTACTTCACAGCAGGAAGATGATGATGCTATGAGCGGTACTGAGCAAGTTCAAAGCTATGGTTCCAGGTGTGCTTCACCAGAAGACTCTAGGAGTAGGAAAACATCGATAGAATTGGTGCAAGAATCATCATTGGACTTGTTTCAGAAATCAGGCAAGAGCACTAGTCGGAAATCTGCAGAGCTACTTAAAGATGGTTGTGTTATAGCCTTACATGCTAGGGAACGCTCTGGGCTGCATGTCTCAAGACAAAGGGTAAAGGGAGGTGGTTGGTTCCTGGATACAATGCATAGTGTTACCAAAAGAGATCCTGCAGCTCAGTTTCTTGTTGTTTTTGGAAGCAAGGTAAGTTCAAGAAGTTATCTTCGTGTGTTTTACATTGTTGGATTTATTGATGCTAAAAAGTTTATCCTCTTTTCTTTTATTTTCTTGTCTGATGATATTGCATGTTGCAATTTCCAGGATACAATTGGATTGCGATCTCTTGCAGCTGGTGGGAAATTGTTGCAGGTGTGTTATTATTTCTAAGAGATGTATTAGGTTCTGGCCCACATTGCTATGTTTTTGAGTTTCTAATTCCATTGTGCTGTCTATTGCATAAGAATTGTCAGATTTATGCTAGTCTATCTGTTATTATGAGATGGATTAGAGAGGGGGAAGAAAATGGTGACTACCAGTAATTAAACTAACATTGTTAAATTCTGTGAATACACTACGGATTTCAAATTTAGTTTGCTTTAAGAGATTCATGGAATTAGGTAGTATATGTCAATGTCACATTATAGTACTTGTTAGTTGAAAGTTCATTGGGGTGAAACTTACAAGATTCCACACAACTATGTACTATTTTAAAGTACTCCGTATAAACCATCAATTCTAGTTAAAGTGGAGTAAACGAATAGTGCATAAGTCAAAGTGTTGCAAGTAAAAGAAAACAATGGAAGTATTTCTTTTGTTTATAGATTTGGTCTTCCTTTGACCCCTTGGTTGTTAAACTTTACCCTTTTCACATCCAAATGTCTATATGGTGCATCAGATCATAAGACAAATCTATATTTTACTGTGTTATCTGATGAATCGGAATTCATAATATCATATTATCATTCACTGCACTTTTGTATAATAAGTGTTTGATTAATGTTCATTGCTTTTCTATGCTAGCTTATGAAGTTCTTTTGATGATGCAGATAAATAGAAAGATGGAATTTGTATTTGCCAGCTACAGCTTTGATGTATGGGAGAGTTGGTCATTAGAAGGTCCTTTGGAGGAGTGTAGATTGGTTAATTGTAGAAATACACAGGTAACTTTTTTATGAACTTCATATATCGGCTATATACTTAGGTCTCATCGAGATTTACATGTACTTCGTTTTTGTTTTTTTTATCAGTTACATGTTGTTTCCCAAAGGTCTAGGCCTGTAGGGTTTGAATCTTGCCAAATGAGGGTACTTGGGGCCTTGAGGGTTCCCCCTTATTCCCAAGTCTTACTAAAATATTGGACAAAAAAACCTTTAAAGTTGAGGTCTGGTCAAAGTCTTCCTTCACGTAAAAAAAATAGTTGCATGTGCTAGAGGAGGTCTAGAACTTGTAGAGAGTCTGGTGCCTATGCTTTTGCAGATTGCAAGGCTTATTGCTTAATTACACAGGGCACAGAAGAACTGAAACATTGGCATTGTGTGACCGTAAAGTTCTAGCTTTGTTTTGTAAACTCTAAATCGCAGGGCCCAATCTTGAAATTTTTTACGTTTTGTTTAAAAAGTTTGTCACTTCAATTTTATCTTTTGGTGTTTGCAGGGTGTTCTTGATGTGCGAATCGAAGTTTTGGCTTCTGTAGGAGAAGATGGAGTGTTGCGTTGGCTAGATTAGGTTTGCAGAGCTGATGAAAATGTTGGTTGTCAAATTACTCGTATTAGGTTGCTTATAATTCAACACGGCTTGTAACTTTGTATATCTTTCAGTACTATGTACCTCATCAGCATTTAGTGTGTTATTCTGTTAGAAGTGTTAGCATTGTGCCGGAGATTTTTTCGAGTTTATGTTGAACGTTCATTTTGATCGGCAAACCATCAAATTGAGTTGATCCAATTTTGTATTGGAAAAGAGAAGAAATATTTCGTGTATCTTATGGCCAATTCGCCTAATGAGTCATTTTGTCATGTGTCACCTCCTTTTACTACGTGATGTTGTGCATGTCATAGAAACAAGTTAGCTCTTCGCTTTTTACACGAATTTCTTTTACAAGCATAATTTTTTATGGCTTAATTCTTGAACGGTGATGACAACGGGTTTCTTCATATGATTGCAAAGAAGATTCCATTCAACCTTAATTGCTTCGAGTATCAAACTTGAGCTTGACTAGCCAGCAAAGATGCTGGTCTCATATTCACTCACTGAGTCACCGCTAGTCCGCTACACTCATGATTAGAGGTGTTAATTCGGATGTTTGGATTAAGTCTGATGAGGTCAGGTCGGGTCGGGTTAAGATTTAACGTTGAGTCATCATACTAAATTACTGTGTTCTTTGAGTCGAAATCTTAATCGGATATTTTTCGGGTAGAATTTGAATTGGATCGAGTGTGATTTTGATACCTCTGACACTAAGCACACCGTCACCGTGTGATGATGGGTCTACAATCGCCATATGGTTCACCCGAATACACAATACGAGCTCTCCTATGAATCTAACCCGGATTTAATTTCCTACCACTCCATGATCCAATAATAAAACATGAAACAAAAAAAGGGGCGTGCAATCACAATAGTCAGCTAAACAGTCGACAACACATCCCTTAATCTTTACAGCAGCCACCCCACATTATGGCACGTTGCTGTAGTATTCATTATTCAATACCAATTCCCCACCACCACACACGTCTAAATGACTATTCTACCCTCCATATTCCACCACACACCTCCAAATGACTATTCTACCCTCCAAATTCCACCACACACTAAATGACAATCATTTCTTTTTTCTTTTATTTTTCCAAAAATACAAAAATAGAAGGCGGTTATAAGATCACCCGTTCACCCATCTTTCCATATATAGACCACAAGAACCTCTTCACTTTGCCATTTTCCAGAAAATTCACCAACTTCTTCGAACTCTACTCAATCCGATTTCAATTTTTAATCAATCAATTATTCATTTATAAATTCAATCGAATTTCCAAATTGATTGAATTTTCATTTTGAAGATTTTATAATGGTGTCGGTAAATCCAAACCCTACGCAATCGCAAGGTTTTAACCTAGAATTTACGAATTCCGGTATGCCTCTTCCCGGAGTTAACCCTATTCCGCCGGTAAATTCGCCGGTTTCCGGTGGTTCTGCTGTTCCGATGTCGGAGGATCACTCTAAGAAAGTGAGGAAGCCGTATACGATTACTAAGTCTAGAGAGAGCTGGACTGAACAAGAGCACGATAAGTTTCTAGAAGCTCTTCAATTGTAAGTTTACTTACTAACTCAATTTTCGTCAATCAGGTTTTTGATTGTGTTTGATAATTTTGATTGAATTATTGGTAGATTGGTTATGATTGTACTCTAAATTTTTTTAATTTCATGATGAATTGTATTGATCAGTGAATATATTTTCAGTTTCTATCTGCTTTGTGGATTAATTGATTGTAATTGCTATCATTTTTACAAGAAAATTTGATTTTTGTCATTGTAATTATGTTTGGGATTTGTATTGGATTTGATGATCATCTTGCTGTTTCTATTTCATTTAGGCATGCTTAATGTATTTCTTTAATCATCGATATTTTTAATTGTGTTGAAGTAAAAATATTGAAATAAAAGTTGATATTTAGAAAGTATTCTTTGAAACAATTAAATAAAACTTCACATGACTATTTTTTTCTTAAATAAATCATTAGAGTAAGTAAAAGAAAGGAGTTTATGTGAATAGTGTAAAGAGTTAATTACGTCATCTAATGTGAATAGAGGAAGTATGTTGGCAGGAAAGTAGAGAAATGAAGTTTGGACAGTTATTACATGATTTATAATAAATTTGAGAGCTTGAGATTATGAGGTTTGTATTTTGAAAAGCTGGTGATTCAATAGTATTGTGAAGAGCTACATGGTATAATAACGTAGAAAGTTATATAAACTTAACGGGTGTAGTGATTACAACATGAATCCCTTGATTAATTAGAGGTGGAAGAATATGGATATAAATGTGGATAGTGGCGAACTTTGTCATTGTTAAAGGGTTATTAGAATGGAAGCATAATATTTAATAGAGGGTCCTTGATGGATACGTCTATAGGAAAGATTTTGTTAGTATAGGGGTGTTCGCAGTAAGATTTTGGACACAGCAACTTCAAGCAAATTGTAAAATTGTGGTTTGTCACATCAATGTGGGCTGTGGTGTAATTGGTGTGGGTGTGGCAAGTGCTATTTTTTTTTTCTTCTTGCAATTTATTTGTATGGGTGATTGTGATAGGTTTGAGGCGAATGTGTCCTAATTTATCAATACTTCCATTTCTCCCAATTTATGCCACAGATTTGATCGTGATTGGAAGAAAATTGAAGGTTTTATTGGTTCCAAGACAGTAATTCAGGTACATATTGGAGATCTTCTGCTTTCCAGATTATTCATTAACTGGGGCTGTCAGAATCATATACCTTGTGTTGTTTGACATCTAAATTCTGTACAGTTGTGTCGTACGCAGTTTATGGCCAGTTTAGCTCTTGGTTTTTTATTTATTTATTTATTTATTTATATGCTGCCATAACCATGTGCTTTATACGGCTAGTTATAGTTTGTTTTGTTCTTTTAAAAGCACTTGGGATTAAAAGGGCTTCTGGAGATTGGTAGTTGTTTGTATTTTGTTCTATAGTTTTATTATCTGATAATTCATGGTCCAAAATTTACATCCTCTTACACCCATTACCCCTCATGCTTGATGATTTGGCTATTATGGACTATTGATGGTCAATTATTATGTTTTTTCGTTGCGATGCAAATTGGGAACGTCCTGCTCATGGACTCTATTTCTTCGTTGTTTATGACTCTGATGATTAAGTAATAACTTGTTAGATTTAGGAGTTGACAAGCAATAACATTGCTGCTCATTGGAGTAGCTTGGATTGAATTGTCTATGATGTTGGTGAGCCAGTATTACTCTAGCTAATGTGCTTATTCTTGGCTCTCTTTTGCTGATGTATGCTGTTGGTCATGAATTCATGATTCTTGCAGATTCGTAGCCATGCTCAGAAGTACTTTCTAAAGGTTCAGAAGAGTGGGTCTAATGAACGTGTGCCGCCTCCACGACCAAAGAGGAAAGCAGCCCATCCATACCCGCAAAAGGCTTCTAAGACTGGTTAGGATGCTAGATTCCCATGTGCCATGTCTGCTTCACTGGTGACCTTTTCTGAGAATTTATAATTCTTACACACCTGAATGTTTTGTTTGCAGCTCCAGCGATTAATCAATCTATGGGACAGTATCAGAATTCTCCTGTTGGTGTTTTGGAACCTGGGTATGTTTACCACCATGACCCATCATCAGTCCTCACCAATCAAAGTGGCAGTGCTCCAGCATCTTCCTGGACTTTTGGGTCTGTGCCAGTTGTCAATACAGCAAGCTTGAGAAGAGGTAGATTTCTTAAACAAATCCCCTTAAAAAGGACTAATCTTTTTATCTCGTATCTATATTCTCCATTTTGGCATTTTGAATAATTATTCCACTTTCTTGAAACCCATTTCTTACTTTTATGAATTTTGACTGTTATTCATTCATCTTAAGTGTGAAATGAGTTTTATATGGATCTGTACCATCTTTGGATGCTAATGATCTTTGAAATTATAAGTCTCTGATTCTCTATAGACTGAACTTCTTGTATAAGATAGGTTCTTCAAGAAGGTAGAGATTAACAAAGCAGAGTATTATAGATCAATGCGCCTGGAGTTTTCTTCTAGCTGGTTCATAGTAGTAATTTTGTTTGGGATAATGAACTGATTTTTTGGCTTAAATATCTGGTTTATTGCAAATAACTAAACATTAAAGCTTGGATTTTGATTGATAATGGTGAAAGGGTTACAAAAGATAGTTTAATAGCTCAAGGCTATTACTCTCAATAGTGAGTTAAGCTCACAACTCTCCAATAGTGACTTGAGGTCATAACTCTCAACAAGTTTCATCTAATTTTTGCCTGCCTTATTCTTTCCCTTCCCGCTCTATTTATACTAAGGGACTATTAACCTAGCAAACTAATATTACTAAAATACCCATATTACCCCCCTTAAGTTAGTCTATTACAGGGTGGTGGGGGAAGATGAAATCGAGGGTAAAATACAAAAAATAATTATAGGAATTGTACAACTTTAGTTTGCTATCTAAGAACACATGTATTAAGCAACACAAAAAGGTTGTGGCTGGAATTTATCAAGAAGTGGACATAATTTAGCAAGAATTGAAGACAGTGATGTATTGTGTATCATAAAAAGCTGGCCTGTGTTCTTAAGAATGATGAAAAGTTAATAATCTGTTGGAAAAATTACCTGAAAGAATCCGGAAATGAAAACTAATCTGGCATGTCTTTCATGCAGATGATGCAGCACTAGCAATGCCCTCAATGACTCCCACAGGTTGCTGCAGCAGCAGCAATGAGAGCGGAAGTACTTGGCCAACAGCTGGAGCTACGGATCAGACAACTCAGGGAAAGCGTATCAAAGGTATTGTTTCTTGCCATTGTGATTTTTATGTAGATTTGCTAAATCTGGCCTATTCTCATGACAACATAGTGGGTGTTTTGGTTATTTCCCTTTATTTATTTTTGTATGGTGCTTCAATTTTGTGTTCCTGGATGTGTAGCAATTGTATGATGAAGGATATATCATATACATGTATTGGGTTTGACCTGGAGTGCTGGCTTGAACTAACTGTTTACTTGTAACATTATTCTCTTTTGGAGTGTGTGCATTTGTTGACATCTTGGGAACTATCATTCTCTTTTCCTTTATTCATGGTTTTTCATCAACTATTCTTGTGCTAGCTACTTCTTTTCACCTTCAAGTCCCTGCACAGTTGTATGTACGTCATCTTAGAAAACCCAATTAATTTTTTAAATAGTTGATAGTGTCTAAAGCTTCAATTGTTATCCTTAGCTCCTTACTCTTCATTTAATATTGATTATTGTCCATAGCAATTAAACTGTTACCTTTCTATTTGCCTTTTGTTCCTATTACTTGAATTAGTTATAGTGTCTTAATTTAATCAGGGTACATTGACATTTCAGTTGACATACATTTAGTTACGTCTTTGTGTAGCTGTCTTGTGAATTTTATTTTATTTTCCTGGGTCAGATTGGTTCTTTTATCTTTTGGAAGCCTTTTCTTCACTAGAGATTAGTGTCTCCTTTGCTGTAGTCTTTAATTTTCTCATTTTAATTACAAATAGAATAAAATATTTATTTACCTGCTTCCTTTTTTTGTGTTAATTTTCTCATTAGTTTAATGTAATGTTTACCTTCTCTGGGTGGAAAAATCATCTAAAGAAACAAAAGGAATAGCAAGAAAGAGGAGGATTGAATAGTAGTTAGAATTTCATATATTGTGCCGTAATATAGTATGTGGAGAAAAAAAGAGCATAAGGGGCAGGTTGAATAAGAGGTAGTAAGAACAATATGTATTGTCATAAAGTTTCATTTTACAGCTTCCTTATCTAATGTTGCTTTGCATTTTCTTGTTTTTCTTTATATATCCTGAATTTATATATGGGTTTCGTTAAATGCACCTGATATTCTCTGCATGATCCCTTTTGTTTTTCAATAATACCCCGAGTATGGTAAAACCATGATGTTAACAATTTTACATAGAAGAATAGGATTCTATCTGCCTACTGTATAAATTATGCATTGGCCAGAATATATGCTAACATTAATTTCTGTTCCACTTGAAGCAGTTGTACCAGATTTTGCTCAGGTTTACAGTTTTATTGGAAGTGTCTTTGATCCCAATGCTCGTGATCACCTGCAGAGGTTAAAGACAATGGACCCAATTAATGTTGAAACAGTATGTTTCCTTTTCTCTTATTATTTGGGAAAATAGGAATATATACTACAGAGTAATTATAATGTCCCTGAGTGGTTTGAATTCTTTTCTTGCTGCTTGATCTTGAAGCATCTGATATGTATGTGATTGATTGACATGATAGTTTCAGCATTTTCTGAGAAGTTTCTCATTTGTTTATGAACAATACTATTTTCAAATATCTAATGATGTTTCTTTTGGTATTTTACCAGGTATTGCTGTTGATGAGAAATCTTTCAGTCAATTTGCTTAGCCCTGAATTTGAGGAATATGTAAGTGCACTTTGTTTTTAGACATTAGTTACTTTTCTTAAATTTTTTATTTTATTTTATTTAGTGTTGATGTTTTGTTTTCCATTGTGGCAGCGGAAGTTATTTTCATCATATGATGTGGAGTCAGGTAAAACTAGGTCATGTAGTCATCTCTTGCCAGCTCAAGATAACTCCAAGACTGTAATTCCTGCTGTTTACTAATCAAGAAGGTATCAGTCTGGTATCAGATTTGTTTACTCTCTTTTTCATTTCCCCTTCATTATATGACCGCGTATACGATATTTCCAGTAGAGTTAGCAGTACACAAGTTTGGATGATTCTAAACAACCAGATGTTCCATGTAGTTGTATTTGTGTAATGTGCATGTTCTCTGCGAGTTTGGTTAGCAGAGTCGAATCTTGGGAGGGAACAAAGTGGTTTACCTCCTCGCTCCTCATACCTTGTTGTGCCTGGGTTTTGTACTGGAGTTCTACTGCAGCCAACAAATAGGTTGCTTGAGACGTTAGTCTAGGTTTGTAATATAAAGTCCTTTTCTTACGAGGTTTGAAGTGTGTCTGTATAGTGTCCTGAGATCCTCTACTGAGGTTTTTGTAATATTTACTAGTCAGAGAGTGCTGCTGCTGCTATTGGGAATGTTAAAGCTTTTCGACGTAGCTGCAAATGAGAATCCTTTGTACATATTGAATCCTGAGAACGTTATGTATATAGAAGAAGGTCCGGAACTGGTTTGACTTGACTGTTGATGTTATAAAAGAGTTTTCAGTCTGTTTCCCAAACATGCATTCTGATTTGATAGAAAATTTGGTAAACAATTAAAAAACTATCGATACTGAATGAAGTTTCTGCTAATCCATAAAATAAAGTTTTTTTTTTTTTTTTTTTTTTTTTTTTTAACCTTTATAAAGCAGCAATTCATAAGCTCCTGTACTGCAACTCTGAGTGTGGCTTTACTGTGGTTGCATTTTCAAGTTGGTATTTGGCGTGACTTCTTTGTTAGCAGCAAAATTTCTTGAAGCTAAGAGGGAAGTCATTGATTGCTCCAAAGAATTTCAACTTTTGCTTCTTAAACTCACTTTTTATTGGCTAGGCCCATTAGACCATCATTGTAAGATCTTGCCTATCCATTCATGTCGTCTTTGATGAAACAAAATGGTCACCTATAATGCTCAACAACAAATATCCAATTATATTACTACGTGGATAAGGTAAATGATACATTCAAACAAAAAAATTAATTTTGATTAGATTGTGACACATTTTAGAAATTAGAAAGTATTTTAAAATGTTTCATTTACATTCAAACAAATAAAATTGTTAAGTAACTTACATTTATTTCCTCGATTTAATGAGTTTAATCTTGTGGTGACGGTTCCTGACTTGAAACAAAATATTAAAATACGTCGTCTGCAATTGATATAGCTACATTTTGCTACTAAAATAAAAAACAAATCTATATCAAGGAAATGCAAATACAAGATTTTGAAATTTAGAGATTGATGAGTTGATCCACTTTACATATAACAAAAAATTCAACGCAAATTGTAAAAGTAATCACAAAATGCAATCTTAAATACGTTATCCCTCAACCCTCATCTCTCAAATCTCACAAAGCCACATGGAATAGTACAAAAATTTAGGATTTGGATTAATGCAAGAAAACTTACAAGGATTTGCTAATCACAACCAATCAAAAGACTTGTCCAATAGAGAATTAGAGACCTTGGCAAAATGATAGAATCATTTTTAGGGAATTTTGACTTTTACCACCTTCAAATAATCACTTAATTGAATTTACCACCTCCAAAAAAAAAGATTTACTTTACCACCTCATAAAAAAATTAAACATCAGTTTTACCACCAATCACCTCCAACTAATGGATTCCGTCCATAAATCCGTTAGTGGGGCCTACCTTGCACACGTGTCGCCATATTATTGGGTAAGCTTTAGAAAAAAAATTAAAAAAAAAAAAAAAAAAATTAAAAAACCCCATCCATCAACCGGTGGTTGCTGCCACCGTCGAGACCCCACCACCGGACCGACTACGACCAGCCCCACCACCTGACCGCTACGACCAGCCCCCCCCACCTAACCGCTACCAGCCCCCACCACCTAACCGTTACGACCAACGACCCCACCACCTAATAACTACCACCGCAACGCACAGCCACAACCACCGCACCGCACCGCACAACCACCACACCGATTTCGACCCCCTTTCCACCAATTTCCGACCTCAAAACCCTAGCCACCACCTAATCACTACGACCAACGACCCCACCACCTAACCGCTAACACCGCATCGCACCGTACCCAGCCACAACCCCCACACCGGATTTCGACCCCCTTTCACCAATTTCCGACCTCAAAACCCTAGCCACCAAATTCCGACCACCCATATAGCCCCCCTAATTCCGACAACTCTTAAAACCCTAGCCACCACCAAATTCCGCACTCCTAAAACCCTAACCACCACCTAATTCCGATCACCTCCCTAGGTTACACCAAATTCCGACCCCTCCCTTGCCCCCACACGAAATTCCGACCAACCATGGTGTGTTAATTTCGTTGCTGGCTGGGTTGATATGGAAATTGGGGAAGATGAAGAAGAACCGTAAAAAAGGTGGGCCCTACTAACGGATTCATGGACGGAATCCGTTAGTTGGTGGTAAAATTGAATTTTTGGAAATTTTGGTGGTGGTAAAGTAAATATTTTTTTTTGGAGGTGGTAAATTCAATTAAGTGGTTATTTGAAGGTGGTAAAAGTCAAAATTCCCTCATTTTTATTGAAAGTTTGAAGCTCTCAAGGGCGTGACATTCACGTGAAGTTAAACGCGAGTGTATTAACATCATTGAATTTATCAATACATTTCCTCCCCCCCTTCTACCCTTTCTCCCCCTCTCTCTCTCCACTTTCTCTCTCCTCATAAACGATCTAATTTATCACAGAGGTAAGAAAACGAAGAAGATAAATACCCATCAAATTTCACGTTTGATTGAAATTCCCTCTCCTTCGAATCCTATCTCAGGTGATTTTTCCCCTTTTGTAATCTTGTAATTGTAATAGTAAACCCAGAAATTTGACAAATAATGCGAAAAAACCCTAATTTGTTTAGGAAAACACTGTGATTTCTATCGGGGAACACAGGAACAAAAAAATCCAAAAATAAAGCAAAAAGATTGAATCTTTGGTTTGAGTAGTTCATCATTTTCGAAATGTTTGTCTGAGGTTGCTATTATTGGAATTCAACGTGGTTTTAAGGTTAGGATTTCTTGATTTAGAAGTTGAGTTTGAAATTTGATTTGAAGATGATGAGTGCTGCGGTATATATATGTTTATGTTGAGCTCAAATTAAGGAGATTGTGGTTTGTGATTTTGTTTTAAGAATTTATTGTGAAGTAATTGTAGTTTTGATTGTAGATTGATTAATTTGACTAGATCAAGAAGTGGGATGAACTTAATTTGAACTCTTTAGGGTTTGTGGATTGGAAATATAATTGATTGTTTTTTACAAGATGGGTTTTTGATTTCTGGAGAGAAGCAATGGTTTTGAAGCGAATGGTGATGAGTTATTGAATGGTGAGAGGCTTTGAGTAGAAAGTGGGAGTTGGAAAACTGGTTTCTGCTTGAACTTTGCTGAACAAGGGGAGGATATTTTGCTTTCGATATCGTGCGGTTGCGGGTCTTCTGAGTTCATTTGCCGGTTTTACCTCAACAATTTTAGTTTGGAGGGTGGTGCAATCGGTTGAGATCGTTGTGGAAGTGTATTCTTATATTTGTCTACCATGTCTGACGCAAGTTCTGGAGTTGAGGAGCAACTCTCGGCGGTCCAGTCGGAGGATTCAACTGCTACATCCTCAAAGTACTTGATCACCTTTGTTGTTGTTTATTGACTTGTTATAGTGATTTTCTGTCTTTTGTTGAAGTTAATCTGGTGATGCATTTGTTTTACTGTCACAGGAAACCGAGCAGATCATATACAAGAGAGTTCCTTTTGTCATTGAGTGAGTTGGAAGTTTGTAAAAAGTTACCTAAGGGGTTTGATGAATCACTTCTGAGGTATTATGCTTTATAAAACTTGCAAACTTTCCTCTTTTGATTAGTGTTTTACCATTGTGGCCTACTAATATGGGTATGGTGATTGATCAGTGATTTTGATGATGCACCCACCCATGATCGTCAACGTGTCTTAGGAAGTTCATTACTGCACGGTTATAAGAGAACTGACTATGGATCATCCATGCCAGCTAAAGGGGATTCGGGTAATTTTTCTAGAGGACCGAACAGGTGGGATAGTCGTTCAAGCGTACGAAGTGATACTGATTCAGATTCAGGTATTTTCTTCAGAATCATTCGTCGCTATCACTTTCTTAGTTTACTTTTTATTTGTACTGATTAGTTTGGTGTTCATTTTATTTGATCATGCATTTCTTGATTCATTTAAGTTTTTGTTTCTTTTCCTTTTTTTTCCACTACTTGCTATTGTGTAATGTTAGGAGGACAATTTCTATCTATGTTGCATATCTTTTGTGTTAGTAAACTGGTTTACAATGACCTCTCCTTTGAGATATAGAGGAGTACTTTAATTTTTTAAGAGAACACCCTTAGCCTAGTCTTGTGAAGATCTTGTGCCAACAAATTGAGATAGAGTTGCCTTATTAGTTGTGGAGGACAATGGCCAATAGGTTGATGATAAAATATGTCATGGATGATTAGTTTCCCTGCAACCTTCTAGGAACCGCCCCGTTGGGGGTGGAGGAAGTTGTTTGTTATAGGAAATGGAAAACCTTTGTGATCTAAGGCTCCCCATACAATGGGGGCTAAATTGATGAGGATTTGAAATGTAATCCTTGTATGATGATGAATTGTCTTACAATCATAGAACTATGCTACCACTTATATTGTTTCTGTAAACAGAATTGGTGATCTAAATTTCTCTTCAAGGAAGACATGTTTTTGTCTGACTATTCTTCTGTGGAGCTTAATAATATTTTGAAAATCTGAGTTAATTTTTAACTGCGGCATAATTACAGGGTAATGTTATTTTTCATGTTTAAAATTTTACTTTGATGTTTTGAGGAGTTGAGAAATTTGAGTTATATGAAGTTTAATTTTAGAAGGAATTTAATATGTTCTGATTATTAACAAAGGTTTGTTTTAGATAAAATGGTACTGTTACAGAAGTAGGAATGTAGGGGGTTTCTGAATTAGGATTTTGTTGAAGTAGTTTTGATGAGTTAGGCTTAATACTGTATTCATCAGTATTCTCTTCTGTTATAATATTTGACAAGCCATCTGCTACATAGAGTCTGGAAGGCGTTATGGAAGCCAGACAAGGAGGTCATGGCAGAGCCCCCCTGAACATGATGGTCTTCTTGGAAGTGGCTCTTTTCCAAGACCTGCTGGATATGCAGCAGGTGCACCAGTTCCAAGGTTTCGTCCTCCTAATGAGAACACTCATCTTAACAGGAGCAATGAACCATATCATCCTCCTCGTCCATATAAGGTATGCAGTGCGTCATTGTATATGGATTTTTACTTAGAATTGCTGTTTTTGTCTTTGTACTCTTTTTTTTTTTGACAGGGTCTTTGTACTCTTTTTTAATCTTAGTATGTGTGTGTGTGTTTCTTCTTTTTCTATGATTTTAAGAACTGATGTATGCGAGTGCTTACTCTGTCTATTTTATATGTTCAGCATTAGATCTTGAATACATACATACATATATATATATATATATATATATATATATATATATATATATGTATATATATATATATGTATATATATGTATGTATATATATATGTATATATATATGTATATATATATGTATATATATATATATATATATATATATATATATATATATATATATATATATATATATATATATATATATATATATATATATATATACTTGCAACTGTGTGCTAAAGCTATTATTTATACATATTAGGTTCACTAATTTTTTTCCCCCTCCCCTCCAGGCAGCACCTCACTCTCGAAGGGAAGCAAATGACTCTTTTAATGATGAAACATTTGGCTCAGCTGATGATACCAGTGAGGATAGGGTTGAAGAGGAGAAAAAGCGAAGAGGTATCTTCATTTATTCAATGTTTCAATGTAATTGGTTAGATTCAAGTTTTCTTCATCATTAAACTCAACTTAAACAGTTATTACTTTTTTTAGCTGAGTTTGAACTCATGAGGAAGGAGCAGCAAAAGGCTCTTCAAGAGAAACAGAAATCGAGTCAAGGCAAGACAGGGGATGCCTTTTCAGAGATGGCATTGCTGGAAAATCCCAGTGATGATAAGATTTCCACTGACTTGGATAAAGTATCAAAACCAACTCCACGAGAAGACTCCAGCAAGCTTTCAGTTTCCTCGCATGCACCTCCATCCAGACCACTTGTTCCTCCAGGTTTTGTGAGTAGTGTTGTTGATAAGAGCTCCACGGCCAAGTCGTCTCTGGTGCATGCTGAATCAATAGAGGTAATTGTTTTTCTCCTTCAGGCTTTTAAAACTGGAGTAAGTAGTTTTGCTAATCAAATTGATGTAAATCTATAGTGGTCACTGGTCAGTAGATAGTACTTTCCCTCTCGACCATGTATGATTTTCAAGTCAGTAGTTTTGTCCCCTTTTAACTGATCTTGCACTGTAGGCTAAAAAAAGTGAAGTTTGGTAAATTGCTAGGAGAGCATAGTAGCTAGTACAGACATTTTTTTCTAGAAAGCATGGAGAACGAGCTTATACACCTTTTTGCAAAAAAAGTGTGCAATGTAGTATATGTAGGGCGGGTCCATTTGTTTATAAATAACTTGGAGACTGGAGAATGAGCTTGTCCATGTATTAATTGCAATAAAAGCTTGAAAGCCTTCATGCTCTTTTAATGACCACTATTGACAGTCTATATGGCACATGACTAAAATTTTGGTTGCTAAAATTTCAATGACCATCATTGACAGTCTACATGGCAAATGTGGATTTGGATGGTTAACTTTTGTAGCAATAAGATGAAGATTATGACTAGGGAGTGTCATGACCTGAGATTTTGTTTACAATCAATATGCATGTTATTTGAATCATTAAAATTGTGGTTAAGCTCAGATATGTATTGCCCCAGTCTTGCTTTGATAAGTAATTGGCTCTCACTTTGGATCCTCCAATCTCATTGAATCTAGCCCAACTTTTTTTTTTCAAAACTTTTACTTGACCCTGCTGTATCCCTCAAGATGATTAGAAAATTGTTTCATTATGGCCTTGTCCTTTTTAAACTTTTTTTTTTCCTTTTTGTCTTGCATTTTCTGTGGCTTGGCTTGAGCTTTGTTTTGCTCTTCTGTCTCTCCATTATTCTTTTTACTACCCCTTCCGTGAAACCTTGACTGTTAAGGAGATGATCACTAGGACTAGAAGTTGCTTGCAAATATTGTCAACTCCTGTGTTAATCTTGTGAAATACAGTTAAACTATGTTAAGACTGTTAACTCTGGTTGAGATATTTTCATTCTTAATGCTTATGCATGCATCCTTTTATCCTGTAGATTGGAAAATCAGAACCAGAAGACAATCATCAGGATTTAAACAACAAAGCTCAGGAAAGAAATTTTCTTGACCTTCACAATCAGGCGAGTGGCACATCTGATATTAAGGCAGCAAAAGCGCTGGACTTATCTTCAATTATTCAAGGTTCTGATCATTCAAAGGCTCCAAGACTTCCTGATGCTAATGAGGTCCTTGAGAATGGTGAAATATTGGGACTTGGTTTTGGGGTTACTGGGCCTAAGCTACTGGGTGAACCTGCTCGTTCAACATCCATTTTAGATAAGCTATTTGGCAATGCTGTAACATCTAGCAATTCATTAACGGCCAGCAATGGTAGCACATCCAACTTTGTTGAGGTAACAATGCTCCTTATTTGCATTTCCCTTACGCAGTTGTTCAGCTTGTGCTTATTATATGATTGTTATGCCGTGCAACCTTTTTGTATATAGCTTGCAGTTGTGGAGGCCTTACACATTTGTCTTAGGTTAACAAAGCAGGAAATACCTTTTAACTTTTCTTTTTTGCGAATTTACCTGTTGAAATACAAACATAATGAAAGAATGATGGCTACCTCTTCGGGAGAGAGGGGTGTGTGTGGCAATTCACATTGACATCTCTCTTGACAGCAGTGCCTTGTTTTATGTGTTCATTGGTATAATAATAAGGCCGGGGTGGATATGGGTATTCTGGAGAGGCTTTCTGAGCCGTTTGTGTTATATTCCAAGTGTACTTTTTTTTTTTTTTTTTTTTGTTGCTTTTCATTAACAATTGCTTGTACTGGATAAGTTGGAATCCATATTATTGTGATGATATTTGGCTTTTACTTGCTGTCAAGTTTTGAGACAGAATGTATGTTCTTTGTTTAGCTACTTCTAATGTCAAATTCTATCTTTTTGGTTGAGAATTTGCTATGATTTCTGTACATGGTGTTATTAGGATGATGCTAAGACAGATGATATTTGGAGCTCTAATAAGTTGCAATCCAAATTTTCTCGTTGGTTTCCTGAAGAAGGTAAACTCGATTTGCTTAGTAATAAATTGGTAATTTATTTCATTTATACATAATTGCTCCTCTGAAACCTCCAGGAGATCTATCGTCTGAGAAGCCAAATAATCTGCTGTCATTAATTGGTGGTGGTGAAAAAGGGGGATCCAATGTGCCTGACACTTCAGCATTGGGATCAATTTTTACTTCAGAGACTGGTTTGGGGCACAAAACGCCCAATTCAGCGTCTTCTCCAGGGGAGATATCGGGGCAGTATTCTAATAGTTTTGTTACAGAAGCAAAGCCTGCTGTGCTAACTTGTGAAGATCTTGAGCAATCAATTCTTTCAGGAATTAGTGGAGAAAGTTCAAATTCTCTGTTTTCTGGGAATAAGCATCATGCTTTAGAGATGAAAGCTAGACACCCTCGTAATGATATCGACAATCAAGCTTCACACCATCTTCTTTCCTTGCTGCAGAAAGGAGGGTCACAAGATGTAGTGCCAATCACAGGTGTTGAGAAAAGACCTAATAAACCACATGAGGATCACGAGGTTGGCAAATTAGGTAAACTTGATGGCAATGTAATTGACGCTGATGGGGTAAATAATCCAGGAAACTCATTGACCCTCGAGTCTCTATTTGGGACTGCATTCATGACAGAATTGCACTCTGCCCAAAGAAGTGTAACTGGCTCTGCAAGAAGTGATGTTTCAAATAATTTGCCCTTTCCTCCTACAATGAACGAAAATGGACTGAATCAATTTGCACCAAATGATAGAGTTCCCAAGTCGGATAAAGTAGGAGATTGGCTAGGGTTTAATGATGCTCTAAAGGAAGCTGAACTCTCTAAGCAACCTGCTGAAGTTGAATCTAAATTTGGTTGCATTGATAGGGGAATTGATGTAGCACTCCCTGAAGAAGATAGCTTAATAAATCTCATTGATCCTATGACTGCTGAGAACTCCATGATGCGCAATTCAGGTTCATCTAACTTAGACTTCCCACCCCCATCGTCACGCATGTCGGCTGATGTTTTTGAGAAACTAGCAGCACTAGGTGGGGCTCTCAAAGATGAAAGATCCATGGTAGGGGGGCATGACCCACGCTTATTTCATGGTCCCTCTGATATGCTGAAGACTGAACTTCCATACCAAAATATGCATCCACAGGCATCTTCGCCACAGATCCATAGCTCCCAAATGAACCACAACAGACCATTATTTCATGGTTTGGACTCACAACCTGCACATCTTGATCCACAGCTAAACTTCATGCCTCCTGAGGCTATGATTCATCGTGATGCTCCAACACATCATCAGTTTCCTGCAAACATGGGCCACCCATCTTTCCAACATCCTGGGGCTGGTCTTCCAGGGTTTGATCATCCCATTCCTTCTCCAATCTTGCAACAGATGCACATGGCTGGCAATCTTCCTCCACCTCATTTGGCTAGGGGATTTCCTGGTGCTGCACCTATGCCTCCTCATCCTAGTCACAGTCCTGCCGGTTACATTCAGGAGCCTAACTCAATGCAAAGTTTTCCATTTGGTCAACGGCAGTCACAATTTGGTGGTCCTGGAATGAGCCCATCAGGTAAAGATTCGACCCAACCCTACTTTGTTTTTCTTTCTTCACAGTTCACAATGCCATGAAATGTTAAATGCTTTTCAAGTGTAGAAATGGGAATGAGTCTAAAGAGTCTCACATAACCATCTCCTTATCTCTAAAGAGTCTCCTTTTCAGGCCATAGTAAGGAGCACTAACTGTATGCTGCCCTTACCCCTGCATCCTTTTAATCATCCTATAATTTATAACAGTGATGAGTAGTTGCAGTCTCATATTATTGTATTTTTTAATTTTGCATCCTGCATGAATTTGAGCTTCAATTAACTTATTGTGTGGTTTGCATTTTTTAAAATTTAGGTCCCGAGCTTGGTGCTGCTAACAACCCACCTGAGGCATTTCAAAGACTCTTGGAGATGGAACTTCGAGCAAATCCAAAGCAAATACACCCTTTTGCAGCTGGCAGTCCTAGCCGAGCAATGTATGGACATGAACTGGACACGGGGTTTCGGTACAGATAGTGTATTTCGATTGTGGATGTATTTTAAAAGGAAAACATATGATCATCTTCATCCCCAGATGACTTTTGCAGGATGGGCTGTCTGTGCCTACTGTAAACTGTTAATAGTGCAGTAATTTTTATTTTTTTTTCTTGGCTTCCAACTTCCAACGTCTAGCATTGAGTTTATTTTACATGCTCTTTGTTTTTACACGGGGGAATTTACTTTTGAAAAGGGTATGGCTATAAATTATTTCTACTGTCTGAGAGATTATTACTCTTTGAGCTGTGCTTTCCATTTGCCGATGATTGTCGGCTTATTCCAGGCTTACAGCTTCTGTGATGTGGAGAAACTCTGAAGAGCCTCTCTCTGGCGCGCTCTTTATGCTATACAAGGCTTTGTTCTTGTCAGCTACTAATTTTCACTTATTTTTGGAAAAGTAATTTCAGACAAGTTTAGATAAGCTAACAATCAATAAGCACATACAAGTTAAGTTTTATGACTTACAAGTTTAGATAAGCTATTAATCAATAAGAGGGAGCTAATTTCACAACAATTGTAAACAGTATAGGAGCTATTTTCACAACAAAAAGTTCGTTCATTTGGACATGTGTTGTTGTATGGGGTCAATAAGAAATGACAATAAGGTCAATAACTCCTCAAGTCCAACTATGTTACTTGTTAATTTTTTTCTTTTCAGGAAATTATGATACATGTTAATTAGTACAAATAAGTGATTTATGGAATATAGTTAAATTTGGTGAGCCCCAAGGCTAAGGTATGCGTAATTGCGTACATTAGCTTCTTTTTAATGTTAAACCTCTCCAAATTTTTTTTAAAAATAAATAGAAAAGAGATTATAAACAAGTTAATTTATGAAAAACAAATCCAAAATTGGAAATCGGAATACATTGAAGAATAGTTATGTATGTAGGTGTATTTTTTTTTTTAAAAAAAAAAAAACAAAAATTGAATTATTAATTAAAAATTGGAGAAAATTTAAAAACAAAAATTGTTGTCTGAGCCCGGGTTCGAACAGGGGACCTCTAGTGTGTGAGACTAGCGTGATAACCGACTACACCACCCAGAAGTATTTGACAAAATCCATCTCTTTATATATAAATCCTACAATTTATTAATAATTTTGTAAAATCCAATTTTGCAAATGGCTAAGGCTGATCCTCTCAAAGCAGTGTTATTTTAAGGAACCACCATTTCTCTCTCCTCTATCACACTCTCTCTTTGCTCACTCATGGCTTCAGCATCGCTGCTGCAATCAACTTCCTCCTCCTTCGCCGGCGTTAGACTTCCTTGCCGGAGCTCCGTCGCTCCTCGCGTCGGATTCTCGCCGGTAACCATTAAAGCGGCTGCTGGTACGGCGGTTTTCGTCGACAAATCTGAAGCGGAGACTGTTCAACGTCTGAAGAATGTTTATCTCGACAAAATTATTCCTCTTCTTAAGGATGAATTCTCTTACTCCAACATGCTTGAGGTCTTTCTCTTCTGCTTAAGTAGTTCACCATTGTTTTCAAAAAATTTGAAGTGAAATTGTGTCTATTTTGTGTGTTTCATTGCTTAATAGATCAAAATTTTCATGTTAGTGCTGAAATTGACGATATGTGTTGGCTTTTTTATGAGGTATATTGAATTTTAAGGATTGAATGAGGTTATTCTGTTGAATTTCATGTTTAGGTTTATGTCGTGGAATTTTAGTGTAAAGGATTGATTTCTGGTTTGTTTTGTAATGTAGATGAAAATTCATCCTATGGTTTTATCTGTTAATTTTGAGCTTGAATCTTCATTTTATTATGTGCCTGGAATTTGATTCCTGCATTTTATCTTTTGTTATTTGAATTTAGGTGTCTGGAAACTTAAACGCTGCAGTTTTTCTGAATTATTTGGATTATCTGTTCCGTTTTAGCCGATTACTTACAGGGTGCTACTGCGGAATGCTAATTATCATCAGTGTATTATCAAATTATGCCTCTCTCACAACATTGAAAGGAGATTGGATTAGTTCTCCCTTTCCTGTTCATGTATCTTACTGCTTTTTGGGAAAATTTTATGAGCATTCTATGAAATGTGTTTAGATTAGACTGGAGTTTTAGTGTAGAAGAACTCGAATTTACTGGAGAAGATATAGTTACTTGGTTTTTTATGGGCTTCTTTTCATGTTTCAAATATATTGATAAAATCATAAATGATTCCAGATATTCATCCTTATACAACTACAACAATAGTATTTGTGGAATTGAGGTCGGAGAGAAATCTTATATTGTGAATTTGTGATAAAATTTCTGAAATTTTCTTTTGTTGGTATGAAATGTGCACAGGTTCCCAAGGTTGAGAAGATAGTAGTCAACTGTGGGATTGGGGATGCTTCACAGAATGCCAAGGGTTTGGATGCTGCAATTAATGAGTTGGCACTTATTACTGGGCAGAGGCCAGTAAAGACAAAGGCCAAAACATCCATTGCAGGGTTTAAGGTCCGAGAAGGTATGACGCTTGGGATTGCAGTCACGCTACGAGGAAATGTAAGTCTATTGCCTGTTTATTTATTGACATTTCTAACTTGATTTTGGATGACTTAATTTGCAATATTGCTTTGTTATACTGTTTGATAACTTTGATGCTGCATCCCTGTTTTGTCACTCGAGTTTTATCATGTTTTGTTAGGAGTTAGTATAATAAAGTACTATTTTCCTGATTTTTCTCACTCGGTGAAAATGGAATGGATTTAGAGCTTGAACTAGCTGCTCTGTGGTTCAGCCAAGGGCATAATACTGGCAGAAAATGAGCATTGATATTATCATAATATGTCATATAACAGGAATCTGGTCAGATTCTTTGATGATCAGTTCGTGTATTCAACCTAGTTCATATATGTTGTTGAATGTGGTGGATTTTGGTTCTGGTTTTGCATACATTTGCACATTCAATATTGTAATTTAACTTCACTTTTGGCATGTAGCAAAGACATACCTCTCAGAGATGTATTTACAAATGTTCTAACTTCTATGTTTATTGAGATGCAGCTTATGTATTCATTTTTGGACCGTCTTATCAACTTGGCTCTTCCTCGAACAAGGGATTTCCAAGGTGTTAACCCAAATAGCTTTGATGGGCATGGGAACTACAGCATAGGGTTTCGTGACCAAAGTGTGTTTCCAGAGATTAAACCTGAGATTGTTGGCAAGGCTAGGGGAATGGATGTTTGCATAATAACAACAGCTAAGACGGATAAGGAAGCCTACAAACTGCTGTCCCTTATGGGAATGCCATTTAGAGAGGGTAGTGGACCATCAACTGTTGTTCGCAAGAAGAAGTTGAAGTCTCACCACTTCGACTCAAAGTCAAGGGGTAGGAGATAGGAAGCTAGGGGTTGTTCACGAGCATTCTTTTTTCTTTTTTTTTTTGGGCATTTTCCATGTACCTACGGTTTGTGGCCTTTTGGCATGAATGTAACAAAACTATGATGTTGTATGAAAAATGAAAAGTTTTTGCTATCAATCAATCTTCCATTGAGCCTGATCACTTTTGGTACATGTTCTTGAGTAGTTGGACAGTCCCTTATTGCTAGAGAGCTACCTCAATCAGTGTTATGGAGCTCAACTTTGATTACGCTATCTGTTACATTGTGCTGCACATAGCATCATTCTTCAAATTAACTAATCTTGTAAGAAGTTAAACCTTGTTCTCATTGGTTATTACCACCAGGTACTTATTGTTGAAAGTTGAAACCGTCAATTTACAAAATGAAATTCATCTGGCTATAGAATTAGGAATAAGAAAAGTTCATAACAAGGATTGTGAAAAAGTAGCCATAATCGTCTTTAGAATCTATAGCAATATAGCAAAGGGAAATGCTTTGAGTGCATTGAGAGGCCAATTGAGAAGCAAGATGCAACACAAATGTCGGTCATTTAGTCCCCTATTTAGTTTACTTTATTCCAATCAGGTACTCGTAAAAATCAAATAAATAGAATGCACCACATGCGAATTATGTAATACTCCGTATTGGTTAAATATTTACATAATTGTCGTAGCTTGTCTGAACCAACTTAAGAGAGTAACCTTCAATCTTTGTTCTTAATTCCAGTATTACAAGTTAAGCAGAGATTATCGTGATCCAGAAAGAACCGCCATAAATTCAGGCGGTGAGAAACTCTTACTCAGCAGACAATTAGATAAAATGGTTTATGGAATTGCAGTACGGATGAGTTTTATTGCAGCTCAGAATAATCCTCCATCAATGCCGCCTCAAATTTCTCTCTCCTCCACTAATCTTCTCTCTCGTCGCTCTGATCTCGTCTTCGTCGTCAATCCTCGAGGTTTTTCTCTTTCTCTCTCCTAATTTCTATGATTTGCTCAACTTTTTGTTGCTGAATACCTTGAATTTGTTGTGAGATGTTGATTTTGCCATGAAATTGTTTGTCGGTAGGAGCAAATGGTACGACTGGAAAGGAATGGAAGAAATTATTGCCATTTTTGAGGTCTCGTCTTTCTTCTGATTGCAATGTGAGTTTCTTCTTTATTCATTTGTTTCGGTTTTATTGAATTTGTGGTTTCTCAATTGAGCAAGCTACATGTTTTTAAATTCATATAGATGATAGATTTGGAGAATTTGTAAATGTTTGATGATATGTGTTAGAATTTACAAATAGAATTGAAATTCGAGTTCAATTCGAGTTCGATGAACTAATTGAATTGAAATTATTTCGAATAGATGTTAGCAAATTAGACTTCGATGATGTATTTTCCATGGAAACGAACCTTAGTATTATGTGATTGTGACGAATTATGATTTATGAGTATTCTAGATTGTAACATGCTCCAGATATTGCTTTTGACCTTTAATTATAACTTCGAGGGAAAGCTGTTACGTGAAGTCATTGAAATTTGGGGAATTTTTAACTTCATTTGGCTCATATGTCAAGTACTCCCTCTGTTTGGACTTTGGAGTAGGTTCTTGCCATGAAAATTCAAATTACATTATCAAAGAGGCAAATAGACGGAGGGCCTATTTCTTTCCGATTGCTTGCGTGAATAGAAGCTGCTTCATAACTTTAATTACAATGAGAAATGCTTTATGTAACCTGAATTGCTGTTGAAATTGGTCATTTGATATTGGATCATGCAGTTTACTGATTTTGACTGACTTAATACTTTGGACTGCTTTATTAGTTATTATTGGGAATGTCATGCATATGGTATCTCCTTATACTACCTTTCCTGGTTTCTGAAGCTACTTTCATTTTGGCCAGATATGTGAGTCTT